ATAGTTCTTCAGCCTCTCGTTAGTATTCATGACCTTGTTTTTAGAGTAGCGGCCAGAGGTTTCACAGACCATCCCTCAGTTTCCATCTGTTAAGTATTACTTCATAACCATTGTTGTTGTTAAGTACCATCAAATCAGTTCAGACTCCTAGGGAACTGTGGGTTTGAACTGCCAACCTGAGGGCTCGAAGTGCAATGCTGATCCTCTAGTACCACACCAGGAGTCCTCGTATCATAGTGATAGCTGTTTGGTGGGCATACAACACAGTGGTGTGTCTGAACCAACCTAGACCAGCTCATGAGAGCCAATTCTGCACATGTCTCCCCAGTTCAGTGTCCTGTGACATCATATTGGGAGTCTGAAATGGGCTATGATGGGAGTATGTAGATGATGAACCTCAGCAGATGCTACAAATGAGGCCTTTCCCGCATCCTCACCCTCAGCCATTTATGAAATATTTGCATTTTTTAGCAGCCAAAACCGAAGCACACCCACTGCTTTCAAGCCAATTCCTATTCTTAACGATGCTGTAAGGACTGACTGTAGCTGTTCCACAGAGTTTCTGAGGCTTTAAGTCTTTTCAAAGGAGCTCTGGTAGCATACTGGTTACGAATCAGGCTGTTAACCTCAAGATCGGTGGTTCGAAACTACCAGTGGTTCCGTGGGAGAAAGATGAGGTGGTCTGCTCCCGTACAGATTTACAGCCTTGTAAACCCTGTGTAGGGTCAGTATGAGTCGGCACCGGCTCCACAGTACTTAACTACAACAAGTCTTTTCAGAAGCAGGCTGCCACATCTTTCTCCATCAGAGCAACTGATGGATCCAAACTGCCAATAAAACCCTCTGACCCACCAGAGCTCCTTGTTCACCCAAGGTTTTCTTATATTGAAGATTATTGCCTGACTTTATTAGTACTGTGATAGTTACAAAATGGTCATTTTTCTTTCTGTTTTGTTCCTTCTACACTTATTTGTTGGTGGTTTACAAATTAATTTTTAAAACATATTGGTACTTAACAGTAGACTCTGAAAGAAGCAGTTCTCCCACACTGTGCCAAATAGTTCTAAATCCAAAGTATTTCATACAAAGCTCCTACTATCCACTGCTGTAGCAGATTTAGACTTTCAAGCAGGAATGCATTAATACAAAAAGAGCAGAATTAAGTTTTAGAAATAATTTTCCCATTCTGTTACCAGACTGCATGTTTTGGTGTCACACCAACAGCGGCGGTAGCATTTGGGGTCATTTTTTCACAAGTTTGCTAGATTCTAGTTTTTACCAAAAGTCTGCCTTTAGCAAATTTGCACTGTAGTCATAGAAAATTCAGCAGTGAATGGGGGAGAAAAGAGCATTGGAGAGAGAGTCCAGAAACAACTTCTGCGTGGTGCTGTGGGTTAATGCACTGGACCGGCAAAGTCGGTTTGAACCACAAGGTTGGCGGTTCAAGCTCACCAGCAGCTCCTTGGAAACCCTATACAGGGTCGCTATGGGTTGAAACCGACTCGATGGCATTTAACAACAACATTATCTAGCTATGGGATTAGGCAAACATCCTTATCCTGCTGAGCTTCAGAAACATCCCCTGTGAAAATGCTCTCTAAGGCACCTTTCAAGTCCTAAAACTTCCTTTATTTCTTTTCGCCCACCTGAAAATCAAATCCTAGAATTCAGCTCATAATTAACATGGTGGCTTGATCAACAAGAGGAGTCCAGTGGCGCAGAGGTTAAAGTGCATGGCTGTTAAACTATCAAAAGGTCGGCAATTTGAATCCACCAACCTTCCTGTGGGAGAAAGATGTGGCATTCTGCTTCTATAAATGACAGCCTTGAACACTCTGTGGGGAAGTTCTATCTACTTGATAATAATGGGACTTGATCAACAAGCCAAGGACAAAATTAAAATGCCCAAGTGGAGCCTGAACCTAGTGACCCAGTGATTGAACTCACAATCCAGTCCAGCTAAATTAACCATGAGGGCATAGTCCAAGGACTTGATACTGTTTCATATTACCTTTGTGCATTTAGCTACCTCATCTGACTCACTTCTCTGGTTCTCTTTGTTTATGTTTGACAGTCGGAGAAACCCACTGAAGGATCCCATTACTGCTCTCTCTCGGAGGATATCCCTCTCTCAAGTGTTAGCTTGCCCAGTACCTCTAAGATTACCTCTGTTGCCATGGTTGTAAGGAAAAGAAATGTTCCATCCTAGGGTACACTGCCATTTCTAAAGGACTTTTACAGGTCAGCTGTGGAATTCTGAAGTCCTTTGTAAAATCTTAGTTAAATTTGGTCACATGAAGTTACTGAAACGTTAACAAATAGTATGACTTTTGGTCAGTCCGTTGTTTAAGGAGTTTTTCTCTTTCCCTAGAATAAGTTTATGATAGGCTCCACCCCTCCTCAACAGTGTCTTCCCACCACCCTTGTTGGAACCCGTGGATCCATGGAGAAGTCTCATGAGTGAACTATGTACTTAGCATGTTGGGTTTCTGGAGCTGTCTCAGACTGGTACCATCCATGCTTCAGTTCCTCATTCCAACTTTTTAAATATTTAATGACCCTTCTAAAGTGGAGAATTATTTGGCAGCTTCCACACACATATCTGGTTTAGGTCTTTTTATCTGTCTGCCTGCACTTCCATTTACTAAATTGCCAAAGTCAGTGTCTAAAATTGTGTTCTGATGACTCACCTAACATTCTGATGAAGCAAAAGGGGCTTGTGGAGTGTTGGGGGAGCTGGCAGTAATTTCTAATCTTTTTCCATCTTTGATTATTTGGACATCCTAAATAATACACTTTTTTCTTTTCTCTGACAATTTTAAAACAACAAATTTGAGCATTTGAGTTCTGGCCCAATTTCAAACTGAAAGAGCTTTTAGAGTGCCCCTCTCAGCTCCCTCCTCCCCTTCATTAATTTCTTTTTTCTTTGAACTTAAGGAATTTACCCTTCCAAATATTTCATCTTGATCCACACCCACCTCACCTGGTGGATTAACGGTTACATCATCTTTCACCAGGTTAGAAAAACCACCGTCTCTTGCTTGAAAGACAGAAAGCAATTGATTCCTACAGTCGGCCTGGCTTCTCTTTGATTTTAGAATCTGTTTCTAGAGATTATAGGCGAGCTTTGAATTCCAAGGCTCTGGGTCTGTCAACCCTTGAAACCAAAAAACTTTGAAGCAGATCCTGGGTCTCAAATTTCACAAGGGATCCCTGTATGTCCGAGGATAAAATGATTTTTGTTTTCAATTCTGTAATATAATTGAAAGGTGGATAATGATCCTTATTGATAGTGTCCTGCCCTGAGTTGTTTTGCCTATTATATTGTGAGGCTTTTAAAACAATGATAGTATTTGTTTGTTTTTTGAGAAGACCAACACAATCATTTGCAAACGTTAAGTGAAGACCATAATCCTTTCAGAAATCCTCACTGAGGGCCACCACTTGTGTAAACTCACCTAGTGTACATTTACTCAGAAATACCATCATTACTGTACAACGAAGCACTTGGATTAACTAGGAAACTCTCCAGCTCAGATTCCACTGGGAGAAGGGAGAAAGCCCAGAAGTCCCTTGTTCTTCAACTGTCTTCACTTCCACTCATTAATTATACAGGATTTAGGCAAGGAGGCAGTTGTATGAAATTATGTTTGCATAAATTAATGCATACAAGCTGACAGATTACCAAAAAATATTTTTAAAACATAAAGATCTATCCATTGCAATGAAACGATTAGTGTAAAATTGATATCCCCCCCCATGTAAACGATCACTCAATTCACTGTAAAAACTTTTAAAAAATAAAGGATAAAATAATAAATTAAAATCTATCGTATTTTTGAAGTCCTGATGTGGCTCTGTGGGTTAATGCACACTGGTCTGCAAGGTCAGCGGTTCGAGCTCACCAGTCACTCCTTGGAAACCCTATACAGGATTGCTACGTGTTGGAACCAACTCAACGGCACTCAGCAAAAACTACAAAATATTATTTTTAATATTCAATTATCATTTTAATATTACAATATTAAATAGTATGTTTAATATTACATTATTGAAATACATACTGATGCCGTAATGGTATTTACATATAACACCGCACTTAAAGATAGAGATCAAGGATCATGTAAGTATTAAGAGCCCTGGTGTTGTAAGTAAGCACTGTACTAGTAACCGCAAGGTTGGCAGTGCAAACCCCAGCCTTTCTCAGAAACCCTGTACAGCATCTCTATGAATTGGAACCTACTCAATGGCACACAAAAGCAAATGAATAGACACTATACGCCCCACCGCCCAGCCCCCAAACACACACATACCCACTTAGGCATCCCGGATCCTAGAAAAGCATTCTGTTAACCAAGACCCAGTTCCCTTCTTTTCTTGGGGAACCTGAAGGATGAAAAAAAGAAAAGATGATATGAAAAGTGATAAATTAGAGTTCGCCAAACTTCAATATTAAGAAAAAGTATTTTAGTATACTGAGCATTTGCTGTTAGGGATTTTAGGCTTCACATTTTAGTTCTAATGGTACAAATATTAATTCATTAATGTGTCATTGACACAGAAGGGAATTTATATTTTTAATAGTATTTGTATTGTGCTTCTATAAAAATAGCCATTCTATAGCCCAGAGAAAAAAAATTATCACAAGAAAACACTCATAAACGAATAAAGGAAAATCTGCAGAGCTGAAAAATGAATTTGGAGAGAGAAAAATGGTTCAGGAAAAGTTGTCTGAATTTTCAGCCTCAAAATCATTCATATTTCTTCCAGAATATGGCTCTGTAATCAAAATTCTGTCAAAGCTAATTAAAACACACACACACAGCGGCTTCCCCTTAACTCTCTAAGTCACTCCACCCCTCTTTAGCCTGCAATGGTATGATCTGCATTTGATCGTAAACTGGAGGTGCCAAGCCGTGACAGCTTCCTCAACTCCACAGCCATTTGCTACAACCTAGGGCAGCCCTGGGCTCAGCGATGCTTTCTTTTTCCACCCACAGGGGCAAATCGAAGTAGACAGCGAAACCATCTTCAAGTTAGCTGCGCTTGTTCTACAGGTAAGAATTTACACGCTGCCCCTTCTGGCTCCTTTTTCATTTGTTGGTTTTGTTAAACCGCCTAGAACTCTGAAGCTTGTTCAGGGCTCAGTGGCTGGCGGATTTGTAAGCCCGTTCATTGTTTACCAATGAAAAGTGTGAGCCGCCGTGTTGTGTTTTAGAATAGATTGCATGAGAGACAATATAATATTGCCTGTTTCAAAGACAAATGAAATGTAGCGCTGTCCATGGGAAAAGAGTTAAGACCATCTTCCTGAAAAAGACTTGGATTTTGGAGGTAGCAGTAACAACAGTTATCATTCTCATTTAAATTTATCATCTTTAAGTCGTTTTGAGGTTGAGCAAAAAGAGCCCTTTAATTTTTAAAGGCCACAGTGTCTGCAAAACAAAGTCGATTTCCTATTTAGAAAGAAAAGAGAAAAACCAATAGTGTGTGTTGATTTATCGGTGTTGTGGTTTGAAAAGTCTGCGTCCAGTGCTTTAAAAAAAAAAAAAAAAAAGTGCCACTTGAATAGAGAATCATTTATTACGTGACCTTTGAAAAATAGAAGAAGTCATTTGTCCTGTTGCACAAATGAATAATATTTCCTGTACACTAGTTGTTTCCTTATCAGTGCCACATTCTTCCCCCTAGGCATAGGGAAAGTCTTGATTATGTTAAACCATGAATGTTCTTCGAAACAAAACTCCAAGACTTTAATGATTAAGAATAAAACTCATTGAGCTTAGCATAAATACATACTGATTATTTGCCTTTTTTTTTTTTTTTTTTCAGGAAGCCAAAGGGGATTATACCAGGTAATGGTTCTTTCTCTGATGTTTCTTTGCAAAATCACCATAGCCAAATTCTTTAATGCTGTCATTTTAAATAACAATGGGGACAAAATCAAAAGAAAGTAAATCCTGGGCCAGGGGACTGAGATCTCCTCCCTCTTCAAATAGAACCTATTCTTTTTGTGAATGAATCTGGGAATGATGTGTGCTTACAATTTTTTGAAGCCAGCGTGGCAGTGAATAGTAATCAGAAGTCTTCTCAAGTTCTGTTTTCTCTCTTATGTTTGCAAGATGAAGAAATTTATAAAAAGCTTTGGGGGATGAGGATGGGGGGGGGAGCACTCCGATAACTTGTGCTGTTGTTTTGCTTCCTTTTTTAAAACTTTTAAATTTGTAATAACACCGTGTTTGAAGCGTTATAACGTACACTCAAGATTAAATCCATCAGCTGCTTAGTTGAGGGATTCATAGTGGGCTTTCTTTTTGCAGCTGCCCCAAGAGGCCTCAGCATTCATACACTTGACCTGACAGTTGTATTGTTGCCCGCAGACACTTGCTGGTACTAACAGTCTGACTGGTTACAGCAGCAGAGACGGTTTACATTTGAATTCACTCTCTCCCTGCTCCCCTCAGTCCTTTCAATGCAATAATTGTAGTTAGAAAAGTAGAAACTGTAAAAGGCAGGAGGGGTACGGTAGGCTTCTGATTAGAAACCGTTCCCTGGCCAATGGCCCATTCAAAAGCCTCGCCTCTGACATGTTAATGTTCGACTCCTGGTAAACTTTACCCATAGATTATTTACAGATCACCTAGTACTCATTCCCAGCCAGCTCCTTTCAGTAGTAAGCTCCTTCATGGACCGATAGCAAAACAATGCCTTCCAAGCTTGAAAACCACTGCTTCATGCTTCGCTTCAGAACTCCTATCACTCTCCTTCCTCATCTGCCCATTCCGTGTGGTAGGTAGAATGGTCAAGGATTCCATATAACGCTTCATAATCTACCTGCCGTCTTTCTCCTATTAGCTTTGCTTTATCCTAGAATTAATATTTTCTTAAGGTTAGAAAAAATGTCCTGAAGGAATCACTAAAATCAATTAACTACGGTTTTTTGGGTTGTTGTTTTTTTCTGTCAAGAGAAGGGGAGGGAAGATAAATTTGTTTCTAGATCATTAACAAACAGTATCCAGAGCTGTTGTATCCTCGCTGTTGTGTCTCCCGAAAGAGCTATATTCCCTAGGCGGATCAGATAGGTGAGGAATGCCTTCATTTATGGGGAGAGGCTGAAGGAGATTTATAAAGGAGGGCTTCAGGGTCAAAAGCTCATTCTCTGCACTTTGTGGATTGCTAACCTCCTCCACTGTCTCCCAGTCGACCATCAGTTAAGCATGTGACCGATGCCCTGTGAGCCTCAGTAGTGAAATGAAACCTATTTTCTATAACTTTTGTTACTCTGAAGTTGGTCCCCAACTCACGACAACCCCTCACAACAGGATTGGACTATGGTGATCCATCAGGTCTTCACTGTTGATTTTCAGGAGCAGAACACCAGGGCTTTCTTCCTAGTCTTTCTTAGTATTGTTGTTGTTGTTAACTGCCTTCAAGTCAGTTCCAACCCATAGTGACCTTGTATAGGGTTTCCGAGGAGACGCTGGTGATCTTGAACCGCCAACCTTGCAGTTTAAAGGGCTTTACAGTCTGGTGCATTAACCCACAGCGCCACACCAGGATGGGAGGTCTTTTAAAATGTATTCAGCATCACAGCAGGCAAACTTCCACTGACAGATGGTTGGTGACTGCACATGAAGTGCATTGGCTGGGAACCGAACCAGGACCTTCTACATTGTTGTGGTTAGGTGTCATAGTGACCCTATGCAGAACAGAATGAAATTCTGCCCAGTCCTAGGCCAACCTCACAATCATTGCTACATTTGAGTCCATTGCTGCTGTCACTGTGCCAGCCCATCTCACTGGGGCTCTTCCTCTTTTTCTCTGACCCTCTACTTTACCAAACATGATATCCTTATCCAGTGACTGGTCCCTTCTGGAAATATGTCCGAAATGTGAGAGATGAAGTCTGGCCATCCTGGCTTCCAAGGAGCACTCTGGCTGTACTTCTTCCAACACAAATCTATTTGTTCTTTTGGCAGTCCATGGTAGTTTCAGTATTCTCTTACAACACCATAGGTCAAATGCATCAATTCTTCTATGCATCAATTCTTCTATGGTCTTCCTTATTCACTGTCTGACTTTCACATGCATATGAGGTTATTAAAAATACTATGGCTTGGGTTAGGCACACCTTAGTCCTCAACTGATATCTTTGCTTTAGAATACTTTTAAGAGGTCTTGTGCGGCAGATTTGCCCAATGCAATAATATATCATTTGATTTCTTGACTGCAGCTTCCATGAGTGTTGATGGTTGATCTGAGCAAAATGAAGTCTTGACATCTTCAACCTCACTTCCACATGGAAAGTGAGAATTCTGTGGCAACACCACCACTGCCAGGTTTATAGGCAGGAAGTGAAAATGAAAGGTGCATGGTGGCACAGTGGATAAAGCCCTCCGCTCTGTAGGAGAATAGACCTGGCAATCAGCTTCCATGAAGGGAACAGCCTTAGAACCCTATAGGGTGGTTCTACTCTGTCCTATAGGATCGCGGTGAGGCAGAGTCAACTTCAGATCATTGTTGTCAGGTGCCATTGAGTCGGCACTGACTCATAGCGACCCCATGCACAGCA